CTCACATGACACAAATTAATAGCTTTATCGTGTTATATTTTTTTATTTCAAATAGTAGGCGTTTTGATAGTATTTATTTATTTATATCAAATGGCAGGCGTCTTGATGGTTATCATTAGCCCTTTAGTTGACTTCAGTCTTCACATAGGGGAAGGAACATCAAAGTGGGAAAAAAGTCGAGAGGGGGGGGGGAACGGAAGAGTGCTTCAAAGACGAAGGTAGAAAAAGGTGAGGTGAGTACTGTGAAAGTAGTCGAATATGACATACAATGGGGTGAGGGTAGTTTGAAGTGAGTCAACTGCCAGTTAATAGACTTTTTGCCGTATGAATATACGTTGCCCAGGGTGCACCACGTGGAGGTAAGTCTATCGCACACCCCGGCGTTTTGATAGTTGAACTCGGGATTCATAGAGGGGAAGAACCGAACAAGTCGCAATAAGTAGAGAGAAGGAACAGAAGAGTGAGTCACAGATGCAAAAGAGCAGACACAAGGTACAAAAAAAATGTAAGGTCAGGACTGTGGAAGTGATTGAATATGACATACAGTGGGATTGTGGTTGTTTGAGACCAAAAGTCAACTGCCAGTTTAAAGACTTATTTACCTCATGCGTTGCCAAGGATGCACCACGTGGAGGTAAGTCTATCGCACACCCCTTATTCCCTTGGTTATATACAGTTATGAACTAAGAATAACAAATAACTTTACCCCATCAACGCCCGGTAGCCTTTTACTTATAAATCAAAGTATGAAGTCGGCAGTTATTAGTTGTCAATCGATAGTTCCAAGACAGATATCAATAGGATAACGATTGTTTTAATGAGCATATAATTCTACCTCTTTTCTCATTGACCCTCACTTAATTTTTAGAAACGAAGGCTGCCGTAGCGTTTCCTCGGTGGGAAGTGCGAATTCTGTCACTCCTTTATCAACCATACATACAGATGACCAATAAGTAAATCAATGGAGATCAAATTTGTGGTCTAAAGCTTTTCTATCGTACAAATTAACAACTATGCCATCGGCTCTGATGAAGTGTCTAAGAACCAACATAGCATATTCATAAGTTGTTTCTATTCTCGTTTCTTTTCCTCCATTTCAGCAATGCGTTGCGGAGTGTTTTAAACCCCTATTTCTATCAGTTTTTCCGTGCACGCTGAACAATTATACCCATTTGCTTAACGCGTGTCTGCAGGTTGATTAGTCATTCGTCTTTTCCAACATAACTCGCAAAGCCAGACATTAATGAAAAATCAATTGTCCACTTCTCATTATTAATTATAATCACCGTTTTCAAAAACACGGGGCGGTAATAAAGTTATTCAAACAGAAGGGGTTTAACAACAGGGCGAGGACATCAAAACAATTGACCAATACAAATATACAATATATCGTGCAACGGACAAAGGGAAGTGGAATAAAAGTCCATGATTGGCGTTTTATAAATAGGTTTTTCTTCCATCGTACCTATGATAAGTTTTATCCATCCAGTTGAGATTCGTCTTCCACCAAAACTACAGCAAACGCTTTTTGAAGGCATACTGTTGTCTTATCTGCAAGGAAAGAGACACTACATAATTGTATTTCGAGAAAATGAAACTATATTTTACGAATAATCTTGACGCACATATGGAATTCTGCAGACTCTTGGGCTTATTCTTCCAGGAGACACCAAGCCAGTAGATTGGAATAGCAGAGAGCATTAGAATAACGTTAGAAAGGGACTCCTTTGGCTGTTGGTAGACAGTGAGAGCAAGAATAAAGATGTCGCAAATTAGGAAGACAATCGGGAAGACGAGAGGCATCTATTAAAAGAGGAAAAGACAATCAGTCTCCGAAAGGTAGATAGAAAGTAAGCGAATTCAAAATGCAAAACCTGGAAGGAAGTCTTCAAATGCGGATCGCGGTAACGCATATAGATAAGAGATGCTACAGCTAAACCGGCAATGAACGAGAAAGCGAAACCAGCTAATTCAATTAGAGCAAAGATGTCACTGTAGAATTGGAAGCCGATTGCGAGGAAGAGCTAAAAGTTCAGAATAACACAAATTAAAGACAAGTGTATGGGAGTATTAAACAAACTAGCAATAGTGGGTAGCCTACCAGAACAAGAATGGCGGGAATGGGTGTGAAATTTGTGTGATGAATCATTGCGAGGATGGAAGGCATGTGTCCTTCTCTGGCACCGGTATAAGTTAGTCTGCAACCAGATAATTTATTTAAAATTGTAAAAATATTAATAAAAGGCCATTTTGAATAAAAAGTGTTTGGAGAGAAGTCAGGGATATTTGGCTCACTGGACTAGAGACAAATTTTTCCATATGTAATTAACCTTAGCTCCACTAACAACACTGAAAATGACACTCTGATAAGACATTTTAACCAATCTTATAGGATTAAAACCAGTCGAAAATTGAGAATATAAAGTAGTTGCTGATCGTTGCGTCCAAAGGACAGTAATCTAGTAGAAAAATGTCAATTTCCATCTCATAAAACCAACTTCCACTACTCGTATTGGCTAACATCATAGATCGGCCTCGATACTATATCCCGACCACTCACTCTTCTCAACTTAAACGTGCAAGCGATAACGTGAGTTGTCTTAACACACTCCATATGTATACATCAATCATAAACAAATTGAGAGGCACAAAGATGTCAGACTTTGATAAGTTCTCTAAAATGTGACAGACCATTCACCTAGGCTTAATAGCTGCTCGTGTGAAATTGGTAAACTAAATGGTCAAATACTGGCATCATCATGACTTACCGGGACATTGACATAGCTTCACCATTAATGCTACCAAAGACTGAAGCCCCGACGAAAATTGGCATAAGCATGGCAATCCAGGGCATTGCACGCTGAGCAAAGATCTATAAACAGATAAAAACGGCCTGTTTTAATAGGAATAAATGTAAAAAAGATCTTTTAAAAATAAAGAATATCTTACGACAGCTACAGCAGACGATCCTGAACCAGAAGCTAGCATCTCATATGGACTAAGAACAGCCAAATATGCGATATTTGTAAGCATATAGAGTCCAGTGACGAGGGAGAGACCGATTCCAATGGAAAGTGGCAAATTTCTGTATAAATTAAAAAATTAAAGAAATTAAGCAATTCTCTTACTTTCCGGGATTTTTCATTTCTTCTGTTAAGAAGTTGAGGTAATTCCAACCAGAAAATGCCCAAAAGCCCTGGTAGAATGAAAGAGCTAATTCACCTGGTGAATATCTTGAATCCTCGAAAGCGTTGTGAAAATTTTCCACATGCCCTATTGAAAATTTAGGTTAAATATAAGTCTTACCAGTGGCAAGAAAGTATAAACCAAATCCAATGATCAGAAGGAGAGCGAGGATTTTTCCGAATGAAAAAATGACCGCAACCCTGGCAGCCCATTTTACTTTATAACAGTTGATAGCACAAATAAGCACTAGAAATTTGTTGAGGCAATCATGATTATCTTACTAAGACCACAAATGGCAACCATGGTTACAATGTGGCTAGGAATTTCGCAATCTGGATAAATCGGTTGTAAGATATATTGGGCGAAAACAAGTGAGTTTGCAGCACAGCTAACACCACCAATAATGACAAATGTAATCCACATTACAATAAATGCCGGAAGACCACCGAAAGCTTCAAGAATATAGGCATATTCTCCACCAGATTTTTGAATTCGTACACCAAGTTCAGCATAAACCAGAGCCCCAAGCATGCTAAAAACGCCAGGCACTACCCACATGATCAGGGAAAGGCCAACAGAATTGGAATATTTCAGTACACCGACTGGGGATACGAAGATTCCAGAGCCGACAATTACACCAAAAATTATGCTGACTGCTTGCAAAACACCGAGCTCTTTCTTCATTTTAACAACACCTTTTTCTTCTCCATTGTCAGAAGTAGAAACTTCCGGCTCCCAGGATTGTCGAGCCATCCTTCGTACGTCGATAAAAGTCGCGTGAAATAGCCGAGTCAATTTATAGAGGACCCAGAGTTTATGATATAAGATAGATTGAACAAACAAAATTCATTTAAAATTGTTTATAAACATTATTTGCAGTATTTCAATATAAATTTTTAAGTTTATTAGAGTTTCGAACATGTCAAATGAGTCGTTTTGTTCTTAAGTGGATTGAAGCAAGCTAAAATGAAATTTAATTATCTTTTTATATCAAGTTAGAATACGTCGTTCTAAAAATCATTAAGTTGAAATAAAAATTGCACAAACATTTGTATTTACTTATAGATATTATTAAAACTAAACGGGGCAAATAATTTTATGATATAATGAAAGCTCTACGTATGTTGATATAACACATTTTAAGAGCAGTGCTACGATTCTATTTCTAACTCGTTAAAATGCTTTCAGGAACATTTTAATTAGTGAAGTTTTTATATTCTTTCAGTCTTTACCTTCCACTACCCAGGGGTTATTAATTTCGAAAAATTACCGTTTAGGGTTTTTATTGGAGGTGATAATAAATTATCTATGAAAGAATTTCGAATAAATTTCTACTTACTTATATTTGGTAAAGATATTAACACAGATATCGTATAATCATATAAGGGTGAACTATTAGCAGGAACATTGAAATCATTATTTTTAAAGATTCAAGTTTACATTGACTTGAAATTTGATCATTAAAATGCAATCCCAGTATGAGTATTAACAGGAGAGAAACACATTTTTCGAACATAATTCATATTTGGAACGATCACCTTATTTTATGCATCTATCTTTTAGAACTCCAAGCACACTTATTGTGGTTAATTTCGATTTCACGCAAAAAATAATTAACTTCGCTTAGTATTTTAAAAAATAATATTAATCTTTTAAGAGCTCCAAGATAAGGAAATAGAAATAATGCAATTATCAAATTGGGAAAAGTTGTTATATTTAAAATTTTGACTAGTTACTGGTAACACTAAGCTCATCGAATTCAGATGTATTTTCATTTTTAAAATGAGATAATACTCCAAACCACCTCTATTTATAACTAGTGACATTAATGTTAGACATAAGTATCCTTAATAACTTCAACCTGTTCATGATAAAGCATAATAACATTGAAAATTAATGGAGAATTATATGACTTCAAGCATATAGTTTTTCCGACAAACGTTTCTTTAATAGTTCCACTAAGCTAGGTTTTCTATCATATCCTTAAAAAATTAATGAACTTTCTATAGTCCAATAAGATAAAATAGCCTTCCCTAAGGGAAAGGACTAAGAATTGAGTTTGATCTTGTGTGACTTGCACAAACAAAAGTTGTGAGAATAAAGAGGGAAAACGTACCAGGAAAAGTTGGGAATAATTTGAGCTGGTAATAAGAAAGTGGATCATGATAGTTAGAGGGGTTTCTTTCTTTCCTATTAAAATTAATCACCTGACAATTTGATAGATGTAGCGTTGTGGTAGAATGCTGAAGATTATTGAGAATGAGCTTTTGGCGACATCCAGAAGCCCAAATATGCATAATTGATGTGATCATTCAGAGGAAGTATACATTTGGCCTTGGAATATACGAGCTTATGAAAGCAGTTCATTATTGTTAGAACCCTTGAAAACACCTACGAAAAATAGCTTATATTTCTACTCCTCCTTGTTAAGCTATTTTGCAGCTTGTATATTAATTTTTCTACTGTTTTCCGTCCTCGGGAAGAACTCCCACCTTTATTCGACTTTTTACACTTATCGGTTAGTTTATAATTGCTCTTGGAAAACTAATTTGCCCTGATCTGGTTCGATTCAATGATTATACCCATCAAGAGTACATAAAACAGTGGGTTTCCATGTTAAAACACTGTGATTCGATGCTAACCGGCATTTCTGGTATTTTAATTCATCGTTGTTTCTCTCTCCACTTACTCTTGTTAGAGCACTGTTATATTATTTTAATGCCAGAAGATGCTCCCAAAGACAATTCACGCAAGAAAAAATTTTGAGAATTCTGTTCTTGCCCAATAGTTGAAGTTTAACAAGAAATAATGAAATCTCTAATTTATCTCGTGTGTAATGTGGTTGTTTAAAAGTGACCCATGCCGATAAGTGCTATTTAATATGGAGACTGATGGAGATTTAAATTAATTACAATAGCAAATGAAAGGGATCAAATATTTAAAGATAAGATAGTCTTAATGAAAGAAGTGCAAATGAGCACTTTAGTAAAATATTATTGAATAGGTCATAGGGAATTAGTGCTATTTCAATTGCTATGTTAGGAATTTGATTGAATTTTGTGATGTGATCACATTGGGTACAGAGTAAGAGAGTTTGCTCTATAGGTGGCTTCAGTGTCTGTGTCTTGTCAACTCGCTTTTCTTAGGGCAGGAATCCTGAACAGCCCTATAGAAATGGGAAAAAATTAAAAAGATAATTGTTTTCCTCATACACGAAATTTTGCAGGACGCACTTAAGGAGTTAGCTGTTTTGCCTTTTCTACAAGGTCCTTTAACCCGCAAATACCGAGCGATATGCGTTAGTGGTGATCAAAGGTGAGCTGCACTTGGCAGCTACTTGTGGCACATTTCGCCTTGATTCTGATTTCAGTCAGTTTATCTCTGCAAGAGCTAAGGCAATATATATCGCCTGTTTGCAGTATAAAACAAAAAAATTATCACACTGAACCACCATGCTCAGGAACCATAGCTGCTTTCAGTGATGGTCAAATTATTTATTCCAGGCGATGTGTCAGTTACGTGTACAATTCTAAAACAAGGAGCTTTGATCTCCAGTATTAAATTATTTTACGAAATTTAAGTAAAGATCACACGTTTAAATTTAACCTAAAACCCGAAGCAGTTCCATATTTTATCCTTTCAATTCTAATTTGAGACTGCCTTTTATAGGGTTGATCTCTGCCGGAGGTTGTTGTACAGGTGAAGAGCGAAAGTCGTCTTTTGAATTTATAAGATGTTCAAGTCAACAAAATGACATGTGTGTCCCTCAAAATTCCCCATCATCATTGAGTCAGATTTGCAATTTGTTAACCCCTTTTAGAGCTCACTGGAAATCCATCCAATGATCTAATACTGACTGAAAGAAAGTTTTTTAAATGTTTTTTTTGCATTTAGAATGTATATGACTCTTCTGGTTAAAATTTTGATCACCGGTTACTGACATCTTAGCACTTTACCCGGAGTGTGTGATAGGCTTACCTCCACGTGGTGCACCCTGGGCAACGTATACTCATACGGCAAAAAGTCTATTAACAGGCAGTTGAATTCTGACTTCAAACTACCATGACCCCATTGCATTTCATATTCGACCCCTTCCACAGTGCTCAGAATCGATGTATACTTAGCGCGATAATTCTACCCAGCGAAATCCGTTCCATGAGTATTGGAGGTCAGACAAAGGAGTGAATACAAGGTACTTCTAGTATTTGAGCATATTGCATAGTTAAAAGAACATTAATTATGGGTGTTTTCAAGTGGGCGGAGGTCACACAAATTGTCTCAGTGATTTTAATGCTTTGTGTGGATTAATTTTCAAGAAAGCTTGAGAGCTCCCAATTTTTTTCTTTCCACATCTTAAAAGATTCAGTATCAAATATAACTACTCTCACATACATTGAAATTTAGTAGAATTTTAAATACTTCTCGAAAAGAGTCTTTTCTAACCCTAAACGGGGTTCGATCTTCGTAGTGCTTTTTAATACTAGCGTTAATTCGGATTATTTTACCCTTGAAGCCAATTTTAATTCGAACTAACGCGTTTTACTTCTTGGTTGTTTTTAACTGATTTAAAAAACCATGTTTGCAATTTTTATCATTATTTACTCACTAAGACCCTCTAAAATACTCCAAGAAGCGTTCTATTTCTGTCATCTGATTGGTTTTATTTTTGGAGGTGGGGGGGGGGGGGGGGGGGGGGGGGAGAGAGGAAGGATATCAAATCCTGATTTAGGTGTTCTTATTGAAGAAAGAATTCGAAAATTGCTTTTATTTCGCGAATATAAGCTTAGAAACTTAAATGACTCATCAGTAATCGAGTACATGACTCGAGCTTTCTACTTCTAATTGGTACGCCCACACTACTAATGTATTAGTCATAAAGGGAGATGGGGGGGGGGACGCAACCAGCCGTCCAAGAACCACTGCACTAAGTCTAGTGAATTAATGGTAGTTAAATAAGTCTATTCAATTATTGAACCAGAGGGGTGTGTTTTATGGTCTATCTCACATAGTTAATACAGACATGTCCAAAGGAGAGTTTAGGAACTCATTCTGTCTCCAAAGCCAGACAAAATGTGCCGCCCTTAACAGTTTTAGGGGCCATATTGAGCTTCGCAACAATCTCAGTGAGTGTGAGACGACAAAAAAGTAAACAACTTGCAGAAAATGGGTGGTAAATTGCAAAGTGACAATCGGATGGCCTCATGGGTTGGATGAAAATAATGATTCTCATCACAACTTTTCGATACTGACTGAAGCGAAATGAATTCGCATAGTATAATTTCATTGGCCAAAACTGACAAACGTTTATTTAAAAAAAGGTAATGGAGCAAGGATGAACTCTCATAATTACAAATTGGAACGACGAGTTCCATTTTTTGCCTCATTTTTGCGTACATGCCAGTTTTAAAAGTTAACTTTCTAATAGTTGTCGACCCATTGTATATCCAAAGGCAAAACATACAAATTTCCTCTCTATGCGTTGTTTTGTCGGTTGCTTGCGCATAGTCAAAGAAAAGTTGAGAAAATTATTCAAAATTTATTTATTTATATCAAATGGCAAGCGTTTTGATGGTTATCATTAGCCCTTTAGTTGACTTTAGGCTTCACAGAGGGAAAGGAACATCAAAATGAAAGAAAGTCTAGAGTGGGGGGGACAGAAAAGTTTTTCACAGACGAAGGTAGATAAGGTGGAAAAAAAGGTGAGGTGAGTGCTGTGGAAGTAGTCGAATATGGCATACAGTGGGGCGATGGTAGTTTGAAGCCAGAAGTCAACTACCGGTTTATAGACTTTTTTGCCGTATGAGTATACGTTGCCCAGGGTGCACCACGTGGAGGTAAATCTATCGCGCACCCCAAATTATTCAAAATAAAAGTGTTCGGAGGTGATTTGAAGTACATTTGAACTCCAAATCAGATAAGCACTGTCCTTACGCATATTTAATGTACTTAGCGTCTTATAACTATGCCCTTCTTTGTCAATAAATTGGTACCCAAAATCCGTCAACCGAATCAATGCACCTTATTTTGAGTTTTCTTCCCATTATCACTGAAATATTGTTCATCGCTTAATTTGCTAATACGAATTAGCGCGATTTACACACTACATATGGGTATAGTTCGGGTTGCTTGCTTCCCTATTTCAGAAAGAACTAACGCTTCTAATTCTTGTGTATTCCCTTCGAATTAGTCACCTAAATGACCCTATTTGCCCAATAAAAATATCTTTTGCTATTGCTTATTAAATATTTACATTTAATACAACAACGCTACTTTTCAATATTATTATTATTATGTTATGGAAGGGTACACAGCTCCCATTTATCGTTTTTGTTCGGTTGGGCGGTTATTTGGGGTTAAAAGTAAAAATGCAGTCCTACACCCTTTCACAATTTCGGGCTGAAGTTGAACTCCCCCGATAAGGGATGAGTCATCCACAAAAGCTATATATATATATTTTTTTTTTCGGATGTACGGTTATTTGGTTCCAAGGAAGAGTTTCATGAAATGGGGTCTTTTTGTTTGGCCGCTTTGGGCGAATTTTCTGAAAGCCCTGCTCAACGCCACCGGTCGTATATTACAGTACTTTATTTATTTATTTGTTTGCTGAGCCCGGATAGCTCAGTCGGTAGAGCATCAGACTTTTAATCTGAGGGTCCAGGGTTCGAGTCCCTGTTCGGGCGCAAGGGCAAAGCAAGTCCACTTTTAGGGGTGTGCGATAGACTTACCTCCACGTGGTGCACCCTGGGCAACGTATACTCATGCGGCAAAAAAGTCTATTAACTGGCAGTTGACTTCTGACTTCAAACTACCTCGACCCCCCTGGTTGTCATATTCGACCCCTTTCACAGTACTCACCTTACCTTTTTCTCTACCTTTGTGTCTGTCTGCCTCTTTTACATCTGTGAATCGCTCTTCTGTTCCCCACCCCTCGACTTTCTGCTACTTTGATGAACTTTCCCTCTGTGAAGCCCGAAGTCAGCTAAATGGCTAATAAATAAATAACTTCTAATTGGTACGCCCACACTACTATATTACAGCACTCACCACTAGATACTGTTAATCCTTACATTTCACCATCTTGCATATTTCAACCCAAAATTTCTTCAATTCGCTGTGGTAGAGGGGTTATCTTTCCATCTCTACTGGTCGAATATGTACAGTAACTAATTATAGAGCGTTTTACCCTAGCATTTTAGCTTCCCAACAAAGTTTTAGAGGGAAAGTATTGTGAAAACCACAATTCTAAGATGGGTGAACCATGCAACCTCATGCATAGTCGAGGCTTCTGCGATTAAGTCCTGGCTTACGTGCATAGTAACCACTGCAATATTTAAACAGAATAAATTTTCGCTATGTAAAGTTTAACGTATATTATGCGTATTTTCGACAGCCACTTTAAAAGATAGACTGAAACTTTTTTTCGCGTTATCCAATTACGAATTATTCACTTTCTCAGGGTGAATTGGAGAGATCAAGACAGTTTCAGCTCACTTCTTCCCATTAGTACTTTTCAATGTGAAATATCGTCAAAATTTACCGAAAGGATTTTGTGCTCATGAATGTTCTGAAAAAAGCGATGTGGTCCCTAATGTAAAGCGAAAAAACGCATTCGGAGACCATCTCATCTAATTACCGAATGCTGTTCGTTCAAATGAAAGAATGAATTGAGCTACACTTCATTCAATTTGTAATAGATTATTTCCAATTTATTTGTTCCGTGTTCATGCTGATGGGGTGTAGAATGTACTTACCTCCACATGATGCTCCCCAGTCAGCCTTTACTCATACGACAAAAAAGCTTACAAACCGACAGTTGACTTCTGACTTCAAATTGCTATGATCACACTGTATGCAATAGTCGACCACTTCACAGTACTCACCTTACCTTTTTCTCTACCTTTGTCGCCCCTCTCTCTCTCTACCTGTCTGTCTGTCTCTTTTACATCTGTGAATCTCACTTCTCTTCCCCTCTCCACTTTGTGCAACTTCGATGTTCCTCCCCTCACTATCATAAGGCCTGAAATTTGATAGAAACTATTGAGACCTATTCAAGAAAGCTGAAATTCAAAGCTCATCATTTGAAATTGTGACAACTAATTGAAGAAGCAAAGAGTATGTTTCTGCAAATTGCACTCCATTCAAGCACAGAAGTTCACGACTTGCAACCCGACAATATTGCTCATCTCCTGGATTCATTTAGCGAACAAGAACAATTTGCAACCCCATTGAAAAAGAGGCAATTAAAATTAGAATCAAGTGTAATACCATATTATTGTTTACAAACTAACGAAGATCTAATCTGAATCTGTGTAGTCAATGCTTTCACGGATCAAAATTTCTCTCACTTTGAATGTAACGAAATAAAGTTCATCCAATTCATCGTCTGAGTAAATTGCCTGCAATGAAATAAACTCATGAAACAAATTGCAACTCAAGTGATTTTCACAACTGCATGAACAATATTAAATGTTTGCAACTCACCTTTTGAATTTCCTGGCATACTTCGAAACCTCCACATTGAACAAAGCGTTTTTGTACTTCATGTCCAGACCAAAGCATTTTTTTGAGAATTGAAAAAATGAGGTAGCCATTTCCATCCATTTGACGAAATGGATGGCCGAGATAAGACAATTTCTTGTCATTTCGACCTGTTATCCACTCAACAACAAATTCCTCCGAGAAGTGCATTTCAACAGCACATTTGATTAATGTCTCCATCAAGGTGGAATGTATGGCGAGTTCAGTCAATATGCTTTTGGGCATCTGCAAAAATAGACATTGAATTTTCAAAATGGAAAGGGAAAAATGACGACTGAATCTAATGGTCCGCAAAAGAAGCCTTGTCATTTTTGGAATGGGAAGCATAGAATGAATAGAAGTGAGTATTAAACAAAGAGCAACATTAATCCATGTACTAAACATAAAGAGGGGCACAGCTCACCCTTCCACAGATATCCAACAGAAGTCTTAATGCGTGATCTCTCGTTTCCGATTCGTCGGAGTATTTGAGGACTTTACAAACGGCAAGGCTGATTCTTATGTATTCATATTTCTGCAAACAAGAGTCCTATTAGAATTGACTCGATGAACGAATGGATTATAAGGAAACTTTGAACTTACAACTCTGCCAACACGAAAGATTGTTTTCAAAAATTTAATAAAAATGCCTTCTTTGCTATGTCCATAAGTAAGATACCGGTCATCAGCCTCATCTTCATCCTCAGCGTCAGATTCGTCTGAAGAATATTCTTCACTTTCATAGTCATATGATCCACTAAAATCGTCGTCATCATCATCCTCATAATAGTCATCATAAATGGAAGGAGAAGAAGGGACATAGGTCGAATCACTATCATCACTCAGTAAAAGGCTATTATCTTCAACGTCACCGTCTGCTGTCTTGTCAGGATTATAGTAGTCGCCATGATTGGAAGAAGTGACATCTGATAAACCACCATGAAGATAGAAAAGAAGGTAGTCATAAGGCCTTCTATCATCTTCAATGTTATTGTAAAGAACAGTAGAAGCTGCTTTGTGGTTCAAATCACCAGAATCATCAAACTCATCATGTTCAATAGAAGGTTCAGTATTGGTCTCTTCTTCATCACCTTCACCGTCATTATCCGCGTCATAACCACTAGAATTCTTATCCAAATTATCACCATCAGCATCATTATCGTCATTACCATCAATCATCACATTCTCACGGTTACTGTCGTCGTCATCATCATGTCTGCCACCCCAATGGAACTCCATTATAAATAGGGCATAATTTACTATTTCCGTTAGAACTTCAGTTGTAATTTCACTCAACGCCCCCCTTACAAGTCTCTCACGGATAAGCCTTACAGCTTTCATGTAGACGTTTCCAGTATTTTCCAATACTTCCTTCAAAACTTTGACTACAAGCTGAACAAAATAAAACAGTTAATAAAGCACAAAAATCCGAGCTAATCATTTCGCCTTCCAAACCACTTTCACCAAGTGATTATGGTGAATGTTCAATTGGAATCAAAATTCACGGACATAGACTTGCCTCGAAAAAATTTGGTGAAAAGTAATGTCCTCGACGAATCAACCGTGTGACGAACTTTAAGGTTTCATCCATGGAATCCGTCCGATTTGGTGCGTAGTAGCGCATTGTTCTCAGTAATTGCTCTTCATTCATTCCACCGATTATCTAAAATAGGCATTGTTTAGAGTGCACTCGGACAGAATAATCAAGTTGATGAGGAGAATGATCAATCGAATACTACCACTAATATATGGGCAATCACGTGGCTCAAATCAATGAACCGGTGTTTGCTACTCATTTGTAAATGAATAAAATTTCATTTCGCTCACCTCAATGTTTGGATATTTGGTGGGAAGCCTTCCAATTCCCAATTGATCAATGCCATGGGCAACCCCAAGGAATTTCAAATTCATGTTATTCGTAATAAATGTCCTAGAAGATTTATGGAAATAAAAATAGCACCGTCAATTTTCTCAATCCAAAACTGAGCACCAAAAATTGAAAAAAAAGGAAATTCAACACAACCAAAGTTGGAAATTGAATTAAAATACTACACTCACTCGACATCTTTGACGGTTAAGCCAAAAAGATTGCCACTCATGTCGAAATATTCCAAGTGAGGGAAACGGCCAGGCTCAATCAACTGGCCAACTGCAGGAAACCGATGGTAAGGCCGCTGCAGTGTGCGGGAAATATCAAGCACTCGGAGTTCTTTCAGCTCCAAAATTGTCGAAAGTGCTGCCTCACACAAGCTCCTTTCATTTATCTTAAGTCCATGCATTTTAAGGCTAGTGAGGTTTTCTCTCAACTCCACCAAGAAGGTTATATCCGTGACTGCAGTCTCTGAGATATCGAGATATTGCAGTCGAGTTAGCGCCCTTGTCAGGTTATAGAGACAGTCATTATCGAAACTTGACTGACTGATATCCAAATGGCGTAAGTTCTGTAGCTGTGCCAATGCTGCAATCATGGGATACTTAGACTCCCCGATTCCCATATTCACTAGTTTAAGGGTATGGAGGTTCTCAATTGTGCTTTCATTGAAATGCCATGCAATATCTTCCATACGCACACATGTCGAATTCCGAGCAGTTACATCGAAGAGAGTAAAATCACGTAAAATTGACGAAACTGAAGCCCACTCTAGAGAATCCCGGAGCGTTATGCAATGCAGATTAACTTGGTCCTTTGAAAACAAAGCCAAACGTTCAGAGGTCAATATTCTGAGGTCCGCAAGCTTCTTCATAATCATGTCTGCCCCTGGCGAGGCGATACGATAGCCGGAATGTGGAAAACGCCAACGCAATTTCGCCACGGCACAATCAGAGCAATGCGTTGCCACGGCAGTCAAGTTCTTAGCAATGCTTTCGGCACAAAGTTCCTTCAAAGAACGTACCCGACCTTTTCCTGACTCTGAAATCGAATGAAATATTATTTCACCAATTTGAAAGTATTCGACAGAATTGAACCAAATGGCACGCATTCAAGCATTCTAATTTGAAGCACCTTCGCAAACTTACCAGTCGTGTTCTTATCTTCCATCACAGAGAGTCGACACACGCTACGAACAACAGCCAAACTTTCGAAATTATGAAAGTACATAATTAACGATGGGTCTATTTGCCAAATACTCGATGCTGATTCGTTTTAAGATAATTATTGGTGGATAGTTGACCTGAACTTGACCTCGATGCACTGTCAATTGTGTCTCTCGACTGACCTTATTTTAGGTACAAAGCGCGAAATTTATCTGCTGTTTTTGCTCACTGTGTGCATACATTTAGACTTTCGGGTCGCCTCCAACATAGCATTTTGTACTGCTAAGCCCAATAACAATTTCGTGTGTACCATGACCCCACTGTATGTCATATTCGACCCCTTCACAGTACTCATCTAGCCTTTTCTCTGCCTTTGTGTCCGTCTGTCTTTTACATCTGTGAATCGCTCTTCTTTGCCCCTGTCGAATTCTTCTCACTTTAATGTTCCTCCCTTCTGTGAAGCCCGAAGTCAACTAAAGGGCTAATGATGACTATCAAAATGCCTGCCATTTGAAATAAATAAATAACAATTTCGTCATCTGCTTAGCAACATCAGAGTTTCATGGTGCTTTCAACAAATTGGAAAGTTTCTCTACCTTCACCATTCCGAAATGGATAATCTGCCCTCAGTATATAACGCATTATGATGGTGATTTTTAGCTTCGATTGGCTCAACTGTCACAAATGAATTCGCATCATCATAACACTTGTAAATGACTTCCAAAAAGGTCGTGTTAACGTTTCCAAGCTATTGGTCCGCATTTTCAGTACAATTTCCTTGTGTTCCATCAGTCAAATGGAAATTGCTTACAGCTCTTCACAAGTTCTTCGCGTGTGTCTGTTTTCACGAAACTTAGCTGCACCACTTTCAAAATGATTGATACACAGAGAAGTCTTGACCTAATCCCAGTGATCTCTATGACGAAATGTCTTAGTACGAAAGGGCTGGTGAAATGAGATGAGTTACCTCAACGACATAGGAGAAAGAGATGAATAGAGAGTGTGGCATTAGTCGAAGGGATTCTCATAGGAAACACAATTTGCAAAGGAATTCACTCAACTTGACTTGAATGAACATGAATGTGTGATTAGCCGAGAAGTGCTCTGCATGAACCACCACTTCCTTCAGAATTCCCAAGTGCACATGGGATCGCTTAGTCTAATCGTGTCAGGAGTGTGTGTTGCTCGACTCAAGTCGTTGCAAATACGAAGAGGCCAATGATAGAATGAAGGAGAGGAGGAAGTAGAAGAACCCGGCATCACAAGTAAAAGAAACTTGCATTATTCAAATTGACTCATCGTTAGAGCATTATCAAGAACAAAGTAATCTTCCATCCATGTTAAGTGGTTCCTCCCAAGAAGTAAACGGTTTGAATGCTGAGGCAACACAAATTTCAACTAAGGATAGAGATCTGTGGCAGAGTCCAAATAGCGACGGAAAGACAGGTGGGAGAGGGAGAGGGAGGGAGAGATTGAAAGAAGGAGCAAACAGGTGAAGGCGCAGGAGCGTAATATAAGACAGGCTAGAGAGGTTGGAAATGAACACAGGTGTTTCAGGTCTGGATCTCATATATAAGATCGAATGGAGACGCCTGTATATATGTAGGGAAATGAGCACAGATGACAAAGGAGGAAAGTCTTGTGGGGTGTTGCATCATCGTGACAAATTAGAAGGGATGAGGTGTGGAAGGTGCTTTGGGGTGATTTAGGAAAAAATTAACACTCCGAGCATAGCATTGACTGTCAGCTTGGGGGCATAAGCAAAGAGAGGAAAGATCGAGGCGGAGACAAAATGTTAACTAAGATCACTGACACAAATGGATTGGAAGGCATGGAGAAAACTCCCGAAATTTTGAATATTCAAGATTGTGTTATGAACTGACAGTTAGATGATATGATTTAGTTGTGCTGAGAAGCAGTTCATGATAACGTATTTTGAGAACTCCCCTCAGTTACATCATTTTGCAAGATTTTGATCTCTGCTTGGGTAGCACTGAACCGTATCGGTGGAGTAACATTGGTAGTACTGTCAGGTGGACGTTGGAAATTGACTAGTTATCATCCAATGTTATTTGATAGTTATGGAATAAGAGCTAGAATGAAGTAGCCATAAAATACCTCGATCAGGGAATGTTTAAGTAATCAAGCTTTTTATATACCATGAAATGAAGAGGAAACCTCGTCGATTATTTATTGAATATATCCGAAAAATCAATTTAATTCTCCAATCAAGGTAAAATTACAAAATTTTTCCCTCCATAAATAGGTGACATAATGATTCTTAAGAGATCTTCTTTAATCACCATCAAGAGAAGTTCGCTTCCATGCCTTCTATCCGGAATATCCTAATGCTGGAAATGCATTGATTGGTTGGAGGCGACTTGCACACGATATCTGGAACTTGGTGATAGCACTCAATATACACACATCTCCAGCTTTGGACAAGAATGGGTAGACGAGATTGGTAGTAATTTAGTAGTCAGGAAGGGGAGTGCAGAGGAACAAAGTGCACAAAATCCGGAGTCCCCATTTTATGCAAGACTGAGTGTTCATCAGAAGAAAGAGAGTTGTTGTAATGTGAATCAAAGCTCATTCTGAATGAGTGAGAAGACTCCCAGAGTGTGATGGGATTCCTCAATTACATTTAGAACTAAACTTTTACTGGTTGATAAATCGACCATGAAGACAAACAGGCCGATTTCTAAGGAAAATATGGCAACACTAAGGATTTAGTGAAAAGGCGTTTTAGTAGAGCAAATGAAGCGGCGATCTACTTGTGACGTAGTCTCATTTATCTGTGGGTTTTTAAGGCAAGCTTTAAAAGTGAGCAACTTTTCTTATGGCGCCTGAAGAGCTCTTACTCATGCGGCAATAAAAGAGTACAAACCGACAGTTGACTTCTGACTTCAAACTACCTTGACCCAACTGCATTGGATCAATTCCACAGTACTCAGCTTACCATTTTCTCTACCTTTGTGTCTGTCTTTTTTACATTTGTGAATCACTCTTCTCCCCCCCCCCTCCCCACCCCATCGAATTTTTGTGACTTAGATATTCCCCACCTCAGTGAAGCCCGAGGTCAATCAATGGGCTAATGATAACCATCACAACGCCTGCCATTTGATATAAATGCTCTTTCTGATTTTAACATACCTATTTAACTTTGAAAGGCAAAAAATGCGTACTAGATGTCACTGTCAGTGTCCAGTCGTATTTAGCCAAGGGCCTATTTTGTAGTAGTAAGTCCATCGGGATCTTCCATTAATTTCCAAAATGGTTGTCGAGAAGCGTACTATTGGAGCTGTCATCACCTCCTATAATGCTCATTCCCCTTTGGAACGGGTTCAATTTCTTCTTCTCTTCTACCTCTGTTATTCAAAATGGATTACTACTGTCAGTTGGGGTTTTGAGGAAAAATCACAACTTTTCGTTTACATGGTAGGAAATTGATTCGCTTTCAGTGTTTTTTTTTAAATTTCTGCTTAATTTCAAATTTATATGCTTTAAATTTTGTTTTTGATTAAAATTTGACTGAATAAATGCAAGAGTTATCGTCAAAATTTGGTCTTAGCAATCAAATTTGGAATAAATGCGAAATGATTGAAATTGTACCAAGAGGAAATTTGCAAACAGAAGTGGAAGGAAACGTACCATCTAAGAGTAACAATCAAAGGATTGATGGCCGAACATCTGACTTGTATGAACTCCGACAATCTAATGAGGAAAGAGATTACTTCAGCAAACTCCCAAGATTAGCTATAGAGGAGATTATCAACTACCTCGACGATGAAAGCCTAATTGCGTGTTCTCTTGTGAGACTATTGTGTTTTCGGTTGTTAATTCTCTTGTCAATTTAATTATTTATTGATTGATCTCCTTTGAGCACAGGTATCTCCCAAATGGAATGCAGTAATAAAGAACACCGATCGTTGGGAGAAATTTTGGTACTCTTCAGGTACTCCAAAACGCCGATGCATTGAGCATGGTGATTCACATCGTGGAAAACTGAAAGTGGACAGCTGAAGTACGCGTAGTTTAGAGCTTATTCTTGCGAGAAATAAGTTGAAAATAGGGTCCGAAGTGGACTCTTTGCTTTTAGTGAACTACCTGATGTGAGCTTAAATTCTACCACCTTCTAACTTTATGCGCATTAAAATTAAGTGAACGTTTTAAGGGAAACTTGATGTAACATCATATTATATAAGAAAATATATGTATTATTTTTGCCTATCGCACTTCTAATTTATGTCTTAAAAAATTATCACCTATATTTTCAGCTAGTCATTAGTCTTTGCTGCTCCGTGGCAAGTGAAAAAGGTGTCAGTTTTATGGTGAAGCTTAAGGAGTCGGAGGTTAATGAAACATTTCTGGGATACCTGCAGGAGACTGAGATGCTCAGCAGTACAGCAGGATAGCTATCCGTGAGTCACTTAATTAATCAAAGTTGGCAATCGAAGGAGAGTGGAAGGGGTTTTTATCTAGCACTAATTATTGTCGGCAATCAATAACCAATGGAAAATAGTTCAATTTTAGGAATCAGAGTAAAATTCATAGATCAGCGTTGTCTTGAGGAAGGTCATTAGTTCAAAATCTGAAACTGTTCACTTTTACTAGAGGGGTGAGCGATAGACTTGCCTCTACGTGGTACGCCTCTACCATGACTCCACTCTACACCACATTCGACCACTCTGTAAAGCCCAAAGTCAACTAAAGGGCCAATGGTAGCTATCATGAAGCCAGGAATAAATAGTTTCATATAGCCTGAAAATAGCCTTCTGATTAGTTATTTTGATTAGTCAATTTGATTGGTTAATTTACCCTAGTCGAATTTTGCGAAATGTGTGGGTGACTAAAATTTATTTAATGAAGAATTTGAACCATAAAGCGGTCAATTAGAATTGACGACACCTCTGCAGTGATTTGTACATTCCCCTATTGGTTCTACTCCGTCTTTATTTTTGTTGCAAATCTCATTCGGGTGGTTGGATGGGCTAGGAGAATTTCTCTGTCCCTAAGTGTCAAATTTATCGTAAGGGCAAAAGTTTAAAGGTCACTTCAGAGTCACTGTCAATATTTAGTATTAGAGAACTCCCCCTCCCCCCAACAGCTGTGCAAAGGTCGAATTTTCACACCTCACCATGGAGTTTGAAGGTGAAAGATCAGTATAGGGAACAATCATATGTCGAATGTACACACTGTTCTAGAATTTGCGGACTACTTAACTATATGGAATCCGTTTTTTTTGGAAAATTTTGTTGGGTAAATTATTGCAGATTGTTAGAATTTAAGATGACTGCTATTTGGTCCAATTTGTTTCTCTCGACTGACTTGAACTCAAAATTCATAAATTTAGTGTTCAGCATAACTCTGCTATCTATTTCGAGTTCAGTCATTAAATAAAATTGACTCCGAAAAGTGCCTTTCGGCCAATAGTATTAAGATGGTCTATTTACTAGATAGTCAAAGACGGTTAAAGGCATTGTAAAATTAAGGAGGGAATTTAGGCTCATCTCTGGCTAGTAACATGAACATTTAAAGTCAATGACAACTGACACTGATCTAGGGATGTACGATAGACTTACTTCCACGTGGTGCACCCTGGGAAACGTATACTCATACGACAAAAGAGTCTAGAAACCGGCAGTTAACTTCTGATATCAAACTACCATGACCCCACTGTTTGTCATATTCGACTACTTTCACAGTACTCACCTCATCGTTGACCTACATTTTCTACCTTCGTCTCTGAAACACTCTTCTGTCCCCCCCCTCTCGACTTTTTTCACATTGATGTTCCTTCCTCACAGTACTCAACTTACCTTCTCCCTGTCTTGGCGTCTGTCTGTCTCTTTAATATCTGCGAATCACTCTTCCCTTCCCCTTCGT